AGACGGCGGGGCCAGCAATGTATCTACACGCCAGATGATTCATGTACGGTGGGCACTCTTGTACTCGAAACAGACACAGAAACAGAACCAGAACCGTACAATGTTCAAGCACGGACGGCGCAGTATTCAAATTGAAAGGCGAAAAGCCAAAAAAGCACAGTGGCAGTGAACTATTTATAGAATTATTTGTTTTCATATACACCGACACTCGCAGCGTACAAAAATTGCTCAGCAAAAGTCCGAAAGGCGACGAAACGACAACGAATACGTTGCCTGGCATTGTACTCTTGGCGATGATGCTGCCTGCCGCCTGCCTTCGAATTTCCTTTCAATTATCTATAGAAATTTTCTATATTAGCCAAGTTCAAACGGCGCCTGATCTTTTTGAACTGTAATGTGCGTGGGCAGTGGGGAGAAGCGTCACCAGTAAAACATGCACATATACTAGATATTGATAGATATGTACACTCATACATATGTATGTATGTATGTACATATTATGTATACACTTCGCCTACGTTTCAATTTGATTTTCGGTAATTTCGGAACGACAAGAACAACACCTTCGCTTTTTTTCTTTAGCCGATCTCAAACTTGTTGTTCACTCGCGATTTGTTTATTTTATGTTTTCGCCGTTAATCTCCCCTAACGTATCCATTCCCCCTCCCAGAAGCGTTCTATGGCGTTCGTTTTGCGATCTCGATCCCGATCTCGTAGCGCCCCGCCCGGTCCCGCCTACTCCCATGACCATGCCCAGACAGGCAGCAAAGCAACATGTTTCCACAGAGCTTCTCGTTTCGAATACATGAGATCATTTTTGACCCAAGTGTGCGTCTGTATGCAAAAACCTCTCTTCTCTTCTCTCCGTCTTGCTGTTTTTTCGTAGCTGTTGTCGCCATAACACACACACACAACAAACTGAGACCCAGAGCTCTGCTAAAAACGTGCTATGATCGCTCCAAGATGGGGGCGGAGGCGGTGACGGCGGCATCAATTAGATTTGGCCTTTTATTTATATTATTGTATGATTTTTTATGCATGATATTTTGCTTATGCGAGGGTTTTTGTTTGTGTCTCTATTAGCTCTACTACTCTTGACCATATGGCGAGGCATCATCTTATCTGATGCGATTCAGTAGCCGATTCCTCAGAGCTGGACCCGCGTGATAATGTGATTTATTTAGCTTCGTTTTTTTGATTGGATTGCTTATGGGACAGAGACAGGTTCCAGTGCAGTCGCTGTCGGGGCTGACGAGTGGTGCAGCCTCTGGGCTAAATGACATCATCTCAACCGCCGGTCATCATTCTTGTGTGTGCTTGACGAATTATTTTGCATCACTCGTACGCTCTGCCTCGATATCTGTATCTCGCTCATTCCGTGAATCTCTCTTCTCAAGGTTATCGCTAAATCACACAAAATGAATCTGTAGGAGTCTCTGTTCCAGTCATACGTAAAAGGAGTGTTAAGGACACGCTGAAAGTGAAAACCAGTTTGACATTGAATTTTGTGACTTTTTGGCCTGGTGTGCGACTGTATGCGTGTGCTTTTGTTTGGCATTTTCGGGAATCCAATGTCATTTTGGGTGTTACCTTTTCTGTTGCAGGTAGAAGCATTCATATGTACTTGCCTCAGCCCATCATTTTGGCCTTCTTTTAGAGAGCATCCCAAATAGAAAGTCTCTCATGAGCGCTTTTTCGCATAAAAATATTCAATTTTTGTGGCATTTATAATGGCTTTGCTGATTCGAATCTCCCACTTAACTTTTGTGTGTTGTGATTCTTTGATCTCCTTTTGTGTGTGCTCATGTGATGCCCACTTCAGATGACTTAAGTCTCCATTAATGCGCGAAAAGTTCTCGGCTTTCAGTTTGGAGGAATGCCGAATGCGGCCATTTTTGTGTGGACTGGGGGGACATGGCTGTACGTAGGTGTAGGCGTAGGCGGGTGCTCGAGTAAACAGATTCAGAAATGTTTGAAATTCTCGAGAACTGCCTTGAATCAACCTGCCTGCCACATGGAGGGGGGAATCGAGATCCGTGCTTACGTGTACGTGTCGTCTGTCATCAGAGACACCCACGGCGGCTCTCGGTTACTCACACGTAGAATTTGAATAATTTATGAATGGGGAATGGCATGGTTTTTTTTTTTAGCAAAAAATACTAATTGGAAATGCAGTACTCGAGCAGTTCGGAAAATTATTCATCCTCCCTGAGGGACACGCCCGCGAAATGGAGCGGCAAGGTAAGCCCATTATTTATGATCTCCAGGCTCACTCTGGTGTCATCGTTCTCCTCACCTCTTCCTCACAGAACGACAAGAATTATGCGTACAAAAAGTCATCGTATCAATACTCAAGCTCTGGCGACAACAATGTGTCCTATCAGGGCAAGTCGCCCGATCAGAACATTGATCAGTTGGACGCCTTGCTGGAGGACTTGAAGCAGGAACGACAGATCACCAACAGAGATCGCGATCTCCTGCCCACCAACGGGACTTCCTATAGAACGCTGTGAGTTTGCCTTGCGGATATTCAATGTGCGATCTTTCCTAAACAAGTCTTTAAATATTCCAGGGAACGCACTGATCCCGCTGGGACTGTCACCAGGACAACGCGTGTGGTCAAGACCACAAAACACTCGGGTCAGGGCGGACAGCAGCCCTACATCGATGATGTGGAGACCTTCAATCCCACCGACTACAGCACGCTGCAGTCGTCGGCCAAGTACTCGAGCCTGAAGAGGGACGATTACCAAACCAAGGAGAAACCATACACGCTGGGTAAGTAGCTTGGAAACTGAAAGAAAGAAATTCTTACAATTTATTTCGTTGCATTTTCCAGCCCATTCACCCATTGGCGGTCAGTACGAGAGCAAGTCGAAGATCTACGAGAGCAATCGGACAATCAACAACAATGTGGAGCTGCTGCCTGGCACCACACAGACCCTGACCAGCGGCACAACCATCGACAAGGAGCTGCAGGATATTGCCTTGAGCGATGGCATACTGCCGGCCCCAGGCACTAAGGTGACGACCACCGTCCGTACGTACACGTATGAGATCCCAGCCGGTCCGGGCAGTGCCACCAGCACCATCAACCGCAGTCACACGCTCAACAACAGCAACATCAACACGAATACGAACACGAATACGCTGAGCAGCAGCTACAAGCTTCACGAGAGCCACAACTCCAGCCAGAACTTTAGCCAGCTTTCGCCACAGCCACAGCCGCTGCCGCATCCACATCCGCATGTGCCCCAGACTGTGGTCTACAACACGGAGACCTACTCCACGCTGAACAAACCCGATCGGCCGCTGCTGACCAATCAGTCGTACGAGATACGCGAGCACAAGGAGACCACCACGCGCGGAGTGAGTCCCCAGCCGCGACAGATGCCGCTTGGAACGGGTCTCCCAACAGGCACACCGCCGGGCAACGGCAGCCGCACTGTGGTCTACAACATCCACAAGACGGACAACGTGAATACGATCAACGAACTGCCGCCGCAGCAGCGGTATCCCCCGAACAGTCCGGCCCACAGCCCCAACTACGCTCAGGGTCCACACAGCCCGCCGATGCATCCGTCTGGGCCGGGTGGCGTCAATCGTTATTATTACAAGGAGACGGAGACCTCAAACACGGTCAACACGATCCACGGAGCGCCCAATGGTGGTCCATATGAGCCGGGACTGCCGCATTCAGCTCCGTTGAAGCAGCTGCCACCCAGCACGGTCTATCCGCAGCCACAGAACGGCAATGGATATCCGCCGAACACGAGCTACACCTACAAGTACTCTTCCACAACGAACACTAACAATCGTCGCGGTCCTGGCGTTGGTCCGGACTATGGCTCCCCATCGCCTTTCCCCGTGGACGGAGTAGAGTATCCGGTGGGCAATGGGAATCCGCCACAGCGTGTGGACGATCTAATGCAGTCCTTCGGCACTGTAAGTAGACAAGAATTAATCTTCTAGGAGCTCCGCTCACCTGATTTTCTTTGCAGACTGATCATGTGGATCGCGGAGACCTAGAGACGCCGGTGCGCAAGCGGGAGATCGAGACATCTGTGGCCTCGCCCAATCAGCAGCATGTGCCGTCCGTGAACAAGGTCGGCAAGGAGGTTTACTATCCGCCAGGACATGAAACCATTGTCATGAAGCGCGAGGAGATGCATGCTGGATCTGCCTCTGGTGTAAGTATTTGATTCACACTCCCAAAGCCAGAGAATCACTAATGTTTGCCTGCTTATTGCAGGGTCGCTGGGCCAAGGGCTCGGGCATGTACGAGTACGAGTCCGGCTCCAAGTCAAAGACGAAAACCAAGTCCGGAGGCGCTGTGGTGCCCTTGTGCCTGCCCCTCTGCTGTGCGATGCCCTGCTCCATCATGTAAAGAAGAGCTGCTCCTGAAGTCGTACTTGTATATAGGTTTCTAATAATATTGCCGTTAATAAGTCTAACGCTAAATCCTGCCCCCCTGCGTCGAACTTGCTCTCTACTTACTGTCTAACTTCTATTTGGGTTTGCTGCTTGTCCAAATCCCATGTGTACCCAGCGTAGATGTCTGTTATTGTCTATGTATATACTTTAATTTGTATTACGGCATCCGTGGAATGATGTCCCATTGTTATATCTGTTATAGATTGCTCCAAACTGTTCAATTTGCTCAAGTCGAAATGGTTTCAAATGAATTTAGCATGTCGCATACGAAACACTAATACAATAAAAGTGCGCCTCAAGCGCCACCTGAATATTTACTAATCGTAAACCATAAACGTAACTCCCGACTTAAAAGGTAACAACCCCCAGCCCCCAAAGTCGTTACAGAGCCATAAATACTATCGTTAATACACGTAAATAAAATAATAAAAAACGATATCTAACAAACGAATCAATGAACTCTGCCTTTACCATTTATGGGGAGCTATTGTGTGGGAGTAGGGCAGCGCAACATTTACATATTTTGTTGTTTTCGGTATAGTAAAAGTTTTTATAAGTTTTATTTTGGTATAAATCGTTCTGATCGATTAACAATTTGCATATCACAAAAGTAATATCTACATTTCACCTTGTAGGAATTGGTGTAGGTGTCTTTTGAAGAGAATAGAGATTGAGAGAGAATAAAATACCATTAGAAGAAGAACCATAGAAGAGTTAAAAAACAAAACAAACAACAAACAAATAATAAACAACTTAACAAAAACTCTACAAGTATTCTGGAGTACTTTGAGTATTTAAGGAGGGGCGATTATTGCTACATTTGTTACTATGGTTCGAATTCTTCGTATTTGGAGCTAAATTATGGATTAAAAGTATACTACATACATGGCTATGTGAGTATATTGAGTACACACACAATATGTGTGTGCGCGTCTAATGTCTTGATCGTTACATAATAAACTGTCTAACTTGGGGTTCTTCGGTTTCTCTAGTAAATGAGAGAATGAGAGCGAGATTCTGCGATTCTACTATTCGAGAAAGTAATGCTGTCCTTTGTACATGCACAATATTATAGATAGTTCTTTAAAGGTCACGTATGGTCTGTCTCTAGCTAACTCTTGCGCTCAGAGTTCCTTAGCTCTGCTAAATACCATGTGAATGTCGGGAACTCCTTGATGCTGTATATGGCGTACTTGATTGAGTTGATGCCATCCATTTCAATCTTATTCATGCCATTCTGTATATTCTCATAGCTGCAAAAGGTGCCAACGGGGAATAAATCATGGCTGAACTTTGATGAACACTCACCGCTTGGGATTGGCCTTCTCCTTTTGATGCTTCAGCATCTTGTAGCGTGCTATGTTCACGGGATACCTTGATATGAATAGATTTGCGTGCTTCAATCTATTGGACATGTCATCGTCCTCACCACCCCAGCCAAAGAATGAGTTGGAGAAGCCATTCACGGCCTGGAAGTGTTCACGTGTCATGGCAGAGACTCCGCCAAATATTGTTCGGTAAGGCAACCTATGCACAAAATCGAATTAAGAGGGAAATGTATGAAGGATTCGATTCGCCTACTTGAAGTTCAGCGTGTCAATCGCAACGGACATGTGCCGCGGCTGACGTGGACAATTGTAGAGATTGCGATCGTCCAAAGGCAGAAGGTCTACATCGTGAAATATAAAACAATCCCACTGGTAAAGCTTTAAGGCCTCCAAGTAACCGATATTCATCATGGCAGCGCGATTGAAGGGCTTCCCATTGGTTTGCTCAACAATGAATATGCGATAGGCGATGCGTTGCTTCATTAGGAACGGGTGAATGTTGCGTAGGAAGACGGAGAGATGGGCATAGCGGTCGCGGAAGGGTACAACAATGGCCACATGGTGCTGGGGGTTGCAGTGGTCCGGCTGGAAAGCGCCGCCAGGGCGCAGCAAGGGGCCCAGCTCGGCCTCAATAACGTCTAGGGATTCCAGCGTTGTGTTGGGCGTGATGGGTCCACCTGGAAGAGCATTTATTGAAGCACAAATAAACCACTAGACAGCCTGAGAGTATAGCATACCATCTCGGGGATCGGGATCAGTGCAATTGGCATGAAGGGCGGACATGGTTGGTTTCATTGGCAAGGGCTTGTGCGTGCTCATGTTCGTGCTGTTGATGTTCGCAAAGGGGTGCGATAAGTCTTTTGGAATGGAAGTAAAGTTTGCAATCGCAATCACAGTCGTTGAGGTGGAGTTCTGAGCGTTGTGCAGCTCTCGCTCCTTCGATAGGGCCAGGGGCGCAGCAGGCAGCCGGATGCCGCCACTTGCGCTGGCGTTCCTATGGATATGCGCATATTTGTGCACGCGCCGTATGCTGTAATTGATAGAGCCAGCAAATGAGGGTGCTAATTGGCTGACTCCGCTTCCCGCTTGCTTGTTCACACTCACCTTAACTTGCTTAGGGATGTACTGCTGGCTCCGTCAGTGCGGAAGCCCACAAAGTTCAGCACCAGCAACAAACATATTGCGCCGGCCAGGAAGCGGATGAGATTCGCCTTTGTGAATACGATCATGGTCCATGCATTGCATCATTCCGTGATCAACTCGTTTGCTCTCCGCAGTGCCATTTTCAACGCAAAACGGTCGTTTTTATTGTTAGCACAACAAATTTTGCCCCAGCAGCTGATGTTTTCGCTAAAAGGTTAAGGGTTGCCGGATCTGCGCGCTATCGAGTGTAGCATTGATGCTGTGCCAATCGGCCATATCGATAGTGTGATTTTAAACTTGGAAAAGATTTTCCCAACAATTAAAATTCCCAAAAAGAGAGTGGTGCAAATAAGGGGAAATATATAATAAAGCTGTCTTAACCGTTTTTCTGCCCCATCTCTTGGAATGGGTCTTTCCTTTTAAGATTAAAAAACATGTTACAAACACAACTGATGATTTTAAACTAAATACAGTATAAAGCGCACAGACCATGGCCCACCAGATGGTATCATGGCAATGGCAGTCGGATCGCCTCGTTGTCCTTTAGGTTTACTACCTTGAACTGGTTCTGGTATGTATACTCTATGCGTAGAATCTTATTGTCCCCAATGCTTGGGTCATAGAAGCCGGGCAGATCGCTCTGTAAGTGCAGGGGAATTGCATCAGTTAAATAGAATATTTCATCAGTCAGGACAGAGAGTGAACAAACCTTTGAGGAATCGTAAAGCTGCAGGGAACTGTTCTGGACCAGGCACTGAATAGGTATGGTGACATCGAGTGACAGCTCGGGATTGAACTGGGTGCTGCTGTTCTCCGTTGTGCAGCCATACACGGCTCTTGTGACTACCAGTCCCGTCTTCTGCAGCTCCTCGGTCATGATGCGATGGTAGGTGCTCTGCATAAGATGGACAGCGGCACTGGCCTCCTGCCGCTTGGCCAGCAGGCGCTGCTCGTTCTGCCGTTTGGTCCGCTCAACTTCGACGCTCTTGCGCTCAGCTTCCATGGGGTCCATAATGGTCTTCTTAATCAAGAACCACGCAATCACGGGAGTCACAGATGCATAGAACACAGCGGCAGGCACTATCTCATCACTCAGGTGTATAGGAAACACATACGACTGATTGGATCGTATTATTCTGCAAGGAGACAATAATCAATGTAGTGCCACATGCAGAGAGCCCTGTCTTGTACTCACTTGAATTTAAGAATAACTCCAGAAGGAACTCCAATGGAGACAGCAGCCGTAACCGAACTGTACTTGGAAATCTTCTTCTCCAGCCCATATTCACCCATGAAGCCGAATGTGCCGAGCCTGCAAAAAGGATTTCCATGTTAATTAACTCCTTTTGGCAAATTCCTTACTGAATTCCTTACTTGACGGCCAGCTTCAGCTTCATCTCATTCTCTATTAGCTTGCGCGTGTAGGAGAGGCCGAAGTAGATGTGCGGCGAGCCAATTACAAACGATGAGCTCAGCGCATACTCGTCCTTGTTGTGATCGATTTGTGTTGTCATGGACGACTGGGGACCCGCATTCAGCGTCAGGCTGCCCACCGTGTGCTTGTCCAGCTGCACAGCCAGCGTGGAGAACAGAGCGGGTATCACACCGTGCTCCCGGAAACTCATGTTGGTGCCGCCGTTGAGCGTCAGCTTAGAAGAAAGAGTGCGTCCACCTGTCGACAGATACTTTAGCTATATTGCAGGCTGGGCACTGGCACAGTGTTTACTTACCCTTGAGACCCACCAGGAAGCCGTTTCCCGCACCCGCACAGACCTCCAGCCAGCCTTTGTTCAAAAGCCGACGACCGGCCACCACAAACCCGCCACTGCCATTGCCGTTGGAGGAGTATAGATTGCCGCTCATGATGATCATGTCCCTGCGCGTCAATGGGGCCTCAATCGACTGGGCAATGCTCATGGAGCCAATCTCCACGCGGGGCATTTCCGTTTCATCGTAGGGCGAGAATATTTCCGTTGCATTCACATTGATGGTGATGTTCCCCCGCGGATTGGTTCGCTGCTGCAGGCGACGCTCGTCAGCAGCTTGCGCTAGGCGTTCGTACTCCTCCCTGATCTCTGCCGGCGTCTTCGTCCGGTGGGTTATCTCCCAGCCCTCAGTTTTCTGGCCCTTTACGCCCACCGAGTCGTAGATGGCCCTCTGGTGGGGATCAGACAGCACCTCGTACGCCCGTTTTGTGCGGTTGAACATAATCTCCGCCTGCTTCTTGCTTTCCACATCGTAGTGCTTGTCAGGGTGGTAAATGCGGCTCTGCTTCCGGTAAGCTGTGTTAATCTGCTCTGTGGTGGCCTGCAAAACAAATTGATAAGACTGTGACGTCCGGGTGACAATGCACTTACATCTCGGGGCAAGTTCAGAAATGTGTAGTAGTTCTCCTCCAGCTCGGCGTCCGATTCATTCTCCGAAGCCATGGCGCGGGCCGGTTAATGCTCCCCTATGTGGTTTAACGCGTTTAGCGTGTCTTGTCAGACAGTATGGCAGCAAACGCACCCAGCCGGCGTTCTGTGTGTTGATTTGGCAAGAAATTTCAAAATTTTGGATACTTTTACGCAATGGTAGGCTGATGTACATGTGTTGGGAGGACCGATAGTTTATGGTTCACAATCACGCTCAAAACGGTCATTTGGTAGAGATGACAGTGACAGTGCCATCAAGTGCAATTATCCAATAAGCTGAGCAAGCGGATTTTCCTGGTTTTGAGAAGTGTCACAATTTGTAAAGAATTCTAGAACAAAACATCATTGTAGTGAGTTTGCTTTTGTGAAACGAACTTACACTCAAACGTAACGTCGAAATTTATTTTATTTAAAATAATCGTACCTAGAGCATCGAATGCTGGCAACTCCGGCTGAAAATTCTATCGTTCTGTCGGAATCCGATTACGTTTTCTCCAGCCCTCGCCTCAACAGAAGAGGATTTCCCTGACCGTTTTGACACAGGAGAGGATTTCCCTTACCGTTTAGACACAGGAGAGGATTTCCCTGACCTGTTCTCCAGCCCTCGCCTGTTACGGGAAATTGTACTTTTTCATTTGACAACGTGCTCGCCGTTCTGACGAAATTTTACTTTTTAATTTGACACAGTGCAATTAAGTAAATACCGAAAATGCTGCGTGTTTCCAAGTTGTTGCCTGGTCTTGTGCGCCAAGCCGGCGTTGTGCCCACAAATGCATCTGGTGCTTCTAGCATGTTCCGCGTAAGTACCACCGCCGCCGTCTTTACATAATAGTCGGAGCGGCATGTTCGGCTCGTTTGCGGGTCATGTTTTGCGCGAACATTCCATAAAGATCAATGCATTCTTTCCTCTTTGCAGTGCCTGCCAGGTGCAAGCAATGGACTGTGGGGCCAGCAGCGCTACAAGTAAGTGAACTTTCTTTAATTTACATAAGTGAAAATGAATGAAGAATGAAACGGATGCCGCCGACTGACCGGTCAGTCCCATAGTTAGTCGTAGGGCTGTGCTTATGTAATGGAACATGCCAAAAATATTTTAGTTTCCAGCAGCAGCTCGTTGTTGCATCACAAGGGATGCCAAGAGTTCAGCTTCTGATAATTGGAAGCATCTGGAGCGTGCCCAAGCAGAGATAGAGGCACGGCCTATTCGCTTATCTAAGCTCTCCTTGCCGGCGTTATCAATTTTCGAGTTTTCGCCATATGCTCATGAGCAATCCATATTTCACTCTTTTTTTTCGTAGGTCTGGCGAGGTCAAGGGTGCTGTCATTGGCATTGATTTGGGCACCACCAATTCCTGCCTGGCCGTCATGGAGGGCAAGCAGGCAAAGGTCATTGAGAATGCCGAGGGAGCCCGCACCACGCCCTCCCACGTTGCCTTCACCAAGGATGGCGAACGTCTCGTGGGCATGCCCGCCAAGCGTCAAGCTGTGACCAACTCAGAAAACACTTTCTACGCCACAAAGCGCCTGATTGGCAGACGTTTCGATGATCCTGAGGTGAAGAAGGACATCAGCAATCTGTCCTACAAGGTCGTCAAGGCCTCGAACGGAGATGCCTGGGTCTCGTCCACCGATGGCAAAGTGTACTCCCCCTCCCAGATTGGCGCCTTCGTTCTGATCAAGATGAAGGAGACGGCCGAGGCATACCTGAACACACCCGTCAAGAACGCCGTGGTGACTGTGCCAGCCTACTTCAACGACTCGCAGCGTCAGGCCACCAAGGATGCTGGACAGATTGCCGGTCTCAATGTTTTGCGTGTGATCAACGAGCCAACTGCTGCGGCGCTGGCTTACGGCATGGACAAAACAGAGGATAAAATGTAATTTCTACGAGGCTCCGTTTTCTTCCTTTTGTGGGTGCGGAAATTTCACTACTTTCATTTGTTTATATTTATAGCATT